AGTCACACACACCCTGGCTACCTCCCCTCCCCCACCTCTGCTTCCAGTGAAGTATGACCCTCCTCCTCGGAGCCACGTCCAGGTGTCCCGGCAAGCGGGGCAGCTGCTCCTGCAGTGGAAGATGCCAGACGACCAGGATGGTGCCGAGGTGCAGTTCCAGCGCCGGACGGCTGGCAGCCCGTGGAAGTTGGTGAGTTTTATGCCCTGGCCTGTCAGAGGCGGGCCTTGGCCCTCCGCCCCCCAGGGTCCCCTCCCCCCTCAAATTATGCTTGTCATCTCCATACTGTCACCTCCCCTCAGCTGACTTCCATTCTTGTCCCGGGCCCCACCCGGACACCTGGATCTGACCCTGCTCAGCTCACACCCCTGCGTGACTCCCTGTGAGCCTCTGGAAGGCTGCCTGGTGCTCGGCCAGGCTGAGCTGGCCATCGCCAATCTTGTGCTTCCTCTGGGCGACCTTTCTTAGCCTTCTTGCCTTTATCCGCCCTTTTCCCACCTCCCATCCCGCCCGGCTGAGAGATTTCCTCTCCCTTTCAGTACCTGCCAAATGACTGTCCAGCCTGCTGGGCCCAGGGCCAGGGCTGCTCTTCCTGGAAGCTGTCCTTCCACTCATTCATTCATTCATTCCTCCACTCACCCATTCTCCAACGACTCACGGCCCCTGCCCACTGTTCAGGCTTTTGTTTTCAAAAGAAGCCAAGAATAACCAGGCTTGGCCTGCCTAGAGTCACTGTGTTTATTGCTAGGTAGCCGTGCCAGGCATGCGTAAGAGGCCAAGACATTCATTTAGAATGGGGGCATCTGAGCCAGCAATTGCAATTTTGTTCCATGGCTAGCGCCTCAATTTCAGACTTTCAGCAGGTCCCTCTGACGAGTGGTCTGGGGCAGAAAGCTAGACCACAAGCTTGGCAGCTGTCCTTCGTGGCTCAGGTTCAAGGTTGGCGGTAGTGGAATCTCAGGGCAGAGGGTCAGCCATTGAGGGAGTCAGACTCACGCCTGCCTTCTCTCTGCCAGGCAGCGGGAAGCCAGGGTTTATTTGCGGTCCCTCCCACGGTGAGGGCCCCGACATCAAAGACTGGTTCACACACCATGCCTT